GATAAAAACTGAGTCATAATGGAGTGGAATTAACCCCTGAGCAGGGAGGGAACTATCACCTGGACTTGCTTCCTACCTGCTACTTGCAAGCAGCTGCTGTCTCCTACCCTTTTCTAAATCCTTAATTTTGGTTCTTGTAGCATTTAAATAGGACTGAAAGCAGATTGATTGGACAAGTGTGAGATGGATTTACACGCTCAGAACAGTTTAATAAGCCTGTGGAGGTTGTGCATGCTGTTTCAGCTTTCTATTTAACCTGTGCTTTGCAATGCTTGGCCAGTACTTACCATGAATTCCTTGTGCATGAAGATTGTAGCCTATTCGACAGTACATGCCAGCAGTTACTAATAAATGTATTAAGCCTTTGTATTTTTCAGTCTTTGCCTAGTTCTCAAATGCACTTGGATACAGGAATGTATTTTTTGTCCCTAGTCTCTGTTTCTTCACTGTTGAAGAGCTGCTGTTCTTGATGACTTAACTGAACATGCTGAGCTTTGTATATGTATGTACATCTGAGAGAGACTCTGCTCTGCTGCTTAGACTTGTTGGAGGAACTTCCCTAGGTAATGTTGTTCTTCTCAACCGGCAGCTGGATAACATCCCGAATGCTCTCTTTGAGTTGGTTTTGGGGCAGGGGTAGGTTCCATGACCCCCTGCTCAGATGTCCAGTTCAGCTGCACGCAGCTTAGCAAGGAGAGCAAGTAACGTACAAATGTTTAAATAGCTTTTTGTATTAGAAAAATTTGAAGTCTCAGGAAAGCAGGCATCTGGAACCTTCCCTGTCAGCTGTGGTAGAAGAGCTGTGAGCTTTCTGTCAGTGCAGTGTCATTATCACTATGCAGCTTTGCTGTCTCACTGTGTAGGCAATGAAGTGTTGTGTTGGCTGAGCTCTTTGGTTTCCAGATGTATGGGAAGTTAAAACCAACTTTGGCTCTTGTGAGCAACGAGGAGGAATATTTTTCTAGTGACCTTGGAGTTTCACTCTTGTAAATTGGAATTTGCAGTTCCTCAGCCAGGAGACCATTTGGCAAATGGTCTCTTATCATGCCCCCTTGCTTAGGAGCAGTGCAAAAGGGTAGCTAAGCTGGGATTCTCGCTGCTCTGTGCTACATCTCTGGAAGCCCAGGGCTAGTTTTCACTTCAAGTGTCTTCACGTAAGTACTTGTAAACTTTGTGCTTGAAGTTAGAGTTGGCAAGGTTCCCTACACATCTTCTGTAAGGTAAGATAGTCCTTGCAACCTTTGTACATAGAGACAGAACTTGTATTTTTCCTTGCTGGGGGAATGAGAGGGTTTCAGTGTTACATACAGATAGCATGTTTTGGTCAGGATGATGGTCTCAGCCAGTGATCCCAGCAGCTTGGCTTCCCTACCTTCTAATTCCATGATCCTCATGCCTTTAACCCAGCACTGGAGCAGCCAGGTGATAATGTACTCACACAAGTGTGTTTGCTGCAAAAGACCTGTAAACTGTTATTTTCAGGATTTTGTTCTGTGGCTGGTTTTCTCTTAGATGACCATTGAAATTCATGCCATGCTAAGAATTACAATCAGTTCTCTCTTAAAGCTGTGGGTTTGGACTGAGTAGCAAAGCATTTTGAGAAAATGTCCTCATTTTCTTACAAAGCGGTGTAGGGTTGTGGATAGAGATTTGCAACCAAGTAATCTTCAAAAATAATCTTCTAAAGGTGACTTCCCTCTGTAGCTCAGTCTAACCTTTTTTGTAAGGAAAAATGAACATTCTTTTACCTCATAGTGAGAAATTGTGTGGCTGGTACAACCCTTGAAGAAAGCAACGGCAGAGATGGGGGCAGTGCTGAACTCTGATAGACAGGCTTGCCTGTCAATAGATTGAGTGCTTGTGCATGAAGTGATTGGATGCTAAGGTCTGAATAAATTGGGCACTCATGCATTAGCTAATGGGGCACTAATGCGTGAAGCTTTAGGACATTTAGGTGTGAAATGATGGGATGCTGCTCACAGTGTCATGGGCTGTTCGTGCATAAAGCTATTGTGTGTTCATGCATGAGCTGATCTGTGCCTGTCATGCATGCCATGGCTCCTGCACTGCCTGATCAGCCACTTGCATACTGGTTGGACTTTGTGTTTGCTGCCAGCTGGCAACATGTGGATATCCATTCACACATCTCCCTCTGCCTCCAGTCCTGGCTGGCCAGCGAGCACACAACAGTATTTTCTGCAGGAACTGGCCTAGAATAACTCCAAACCCAAACAAGCTTTTGGGCAGGAGATGCTAACTGTGTGACAGGCCATCCAAAAAGAGCTCTTATCTTCTGCATCCAAGGGAATTGACAGAAGATGACATTGCTCTTGCCTGCCCATGGATACAGAGCACATATTTGCAGCCAGCACTGACAAAGAGCTTATGATGAGATCCATAGGGTCGATGGTGTGCTGGCCTGGCTTTTATATTCCATTAAAAGAATTGAGTGCCTGCATGAGTCACTAGAACCCCAGACCCTGGTTTCTCCTGATTCCCAGGAGCCCCATGGCAGCCTTTTTGGAATGCAGTGACTATGGGGATTCAAGAGCCTTTGGTTTCCCAATGGAAGTGCCCTCTGTGCCCTCCCAAAAAAACATTGTCCCACCAGTGCTCCCACTCTTCTGGCCAGCGGCCAGAGGTGCTGTATAGAGCTGGAGTTTGAAGAAGCAGGAGCTGAACTAACTTATGACTTCAAATAACTCGAGCAGTAACATGCTGGAAAATGTCCATCAGCAGATGCTGCAAGAAGCAGGAGCAACTCTTTTTCTGAGCATCCAGTACTGGAGGTAGAGCTTCAACAAAGTGGAGTTGGAATGAGCTGGAAATCAAAATAAGCCTATGTCTGTCAGCTGGAGCTGTAGGAAGCCAGAACTGCTACACAAAAGCAGGTTTCAACAAGCTTGACCTGGACTCACCTTCAACTGAAAACAAGCCAGAGCTATAAGAAGCTGGAGTGTTCAGTAACTGGAATTGACATTACCTGAACTGAGCAGCAGCAGCATGCCTCTTCACAACTGTGCAGGAGCTGGAGCTGCAAGACAGAGCCAGAGCTTTAAGAAGCAGCAACTGAAGGTAGCTGGGGCTTCCTGAGTAGTAACATGCTGGACCCTCTGTCAGCAAGAGCTGTAGGAAGCACGAGCCTCTCCTATCCAGAGCATCCAGCTGCTGGAGTGCCTGTTAGCTGGAACTGCAACAAGCTGTGGTGTCCATCAGCCAGGGCTGCCTTCCAGCACTGCTCAACAGAGGAGCAGCTGCTAGCCACAGCCTCTGTTAGCCAGAGCCAAGGGAGAAATGACAACAGGAACTCCTGTCCTGCTGGCACAGACCCTGCCAGAGCAGGGAATGGGAACATGCCAGGTGAGAGCTGCAGCAAGCAAGTGCAGCCCTATATTACCTGCACAAGGATCACCTCAGGGCCTCACCCCACATCCCACTGCCCCAGCCAGGGACTAGGGCAGGCTGTGAGAGCTGGGGACACAAGTCAGCA